AACACGTATGTGTGTGTGTGTGTATGTGTGTGTGTGTGTGTGTGTCTATATATATATATATATATATATAATGCCACCTCACTACCAAGCATTACTTTTTGTGCTTGGTACCAAGCATACCCATTTTTCTCATATATATATATATATATATATATATATATATATATATATACATAGAAACCAAAATTTATATGTGTGTGATATATGATTGAGCTTAGAGTATTAATCACACATAATATAAATCTATACTAAATTACCCAAGCTATTGGTCTTCAATAAGCTTGACTTGGTTGCGGATGAAGCTTGATCTTGCATATGATTTTATTTACAAATAACTTCATACTGATATTCCTTCCATCCTCCAAAGGATATGATAGTGAAAGCTCTAGTCCATCCATCCTCCAACTTTGATATTTGTGTAGATTACCTAACAAAATAAATGCAAGCACTCGACGCACAATGTTAGGAATTGTTTGTAATTATCAAAACAAGATTAGGGAGTAGGCTCATAACCATGAGGCTAACAGAACATTCATCTATAAGCCTAAATGAGAATTTATCAAGGAAATGAATATTAAATTTGGTGCTTTGAAATATAAAATAGGTACCTTATCTGTGGCAAGTGAGGATGGGACCTCTCCGCCTTCCTAAACATTCTCCTCTTGAGTTGTTTCCTTGACTCTATGACTTCCCCTTATAGCATAACAAGAAGTTATAACCCAAAGTTGTTATAAACAAAATAGGTTAACCTTTGTCACAGAAAATATAGCATGAGATGGTGAGAGGGTCATCTAGTCTATCGTAGCCAACATTTTTTCTCCATGAGCAACTAGGGAAGTTTATACTTGTTCTTCACCAAGGGCCACCTCACCACCCAAAGATCTCTAAAATGCCCCGGCGGCAAGCGAACAAATAAGTGAAATGGAAGCAAGAGGTTCTATACCCTCGAGCATCTTCAAGGTAGGGATTGAACGAGGAGGTACTCTAGCATGAACCATAAGAGTTTGTAGTTCGGGAGGTCATGCCCGGCAAGAACACCTACCTTGGTCAATGACACATCTGTATGACTCAAAGATCCGGATGCCCCTTGCAGATTAGTATCAACATGCTCTTAAGAGAATGGATCAATTGCCTCATCAGGGTTGGTCTTACCAACCTCACCACTAGAAGACCAGCCAATAAACCGTTAGACCCTAGAGGGGGGGGTGATTAGGGTCTTATGCTAATCTAATCTGATTTTATGCCAATTAAAACATATAAGATATGAACATAAATATAAATGAACATCAAAGCACACTCAAACACACTATATGATCACGGAGTTCGGACCTTCCGTCCTACGTCTCCGCTCCCCACTCCCGGGGAGAAATCCACTATCACAACCGGGTTTTCTACGCTCACCCGAATAACGTTTACAACCACACTATGTCGGTTTTCAACGCTCACCGAACAACGTTCACTCCTCACACTCGGTTTTCTAGTTCACCGAAAACTTCACAACACACTCGGTTTCTAGCTCACCGAAAACCTAACAATCTCACAATGTAACAAATATAAATTGTTCTCTAATATGGATGAGAACACAATAAAAGCCCACACTCAATGTTACAACTCTCACAACCCTAATATATTATGAATGCAAATACAATAAGCTCAAGTGGGTGTGTGTAAACAATGAGTGAAATCAAAATCAAAACTAAACTCAATTAAAATCTAGCATATAGAAATTATAAACAAAATAATAAATAGCTAGAAATGAGTTTAGAGATTCTTCTCTGAATAACAAGATGGAGAGATGGAGATTGAAGCCCAAACAAGAAGATGATCTCCTCCACTTGTGAAAACTTCTTCACAAACAAAACAAACCCTTAAACACACTTTAAACCCTTGTTTAAAACTTGTTTTAAAAACTTCTTAGATTAAAACACTTCTTGATTACATAAAAAGAGATCAGCAATTGGGTATTTATACCTACTCAAGATCTCAACAAAAACCCCAAACAAAATGACAAAACAGTCCCCAGAAGACAGCTCAGAAAAATAGCCGTTAGTGTCTAACGGATCTATTGTCGGTCGACCAAAAATTCTGTCGGTCGACCGATGGAGAAGTTCGGTCGACCGAGTCGACCGGTGCGGTCGACCGATGGAGCTTTCGGTCGACCGGACCGGTCGACTGACAGACTCTCTGTCGCCCAGTGATGAAAGATCAAATGATCGGTCGACCGGTGCGGTCGACCGAAAACTGACATATATAAAAGCTGATTTGCTAATTTTAAAACTCTGTTTAAAAATATTAAATAAATTTCAAAAAATGTAAAACTTTAGGGAATGATTATAGACATGATAATAAACATGCTATAGTGACTGGTTATCAGAAAGGACTTCCCAAATGTAAAATATCATCATTTTGCAAGGAGGTCCAAAACACAAAAAAAATATAAACACATGAGTTTTGACATTTTAGCTAAACCATGTTTTGAAATAATATAAAATGATTTTATAGACTTAATAGAAGATGTAAACTATTGTTATGAAGTCTATAAATAGTGAATATAGTATTTTATCAAAATACACATATAATACACTAAAACATGATTTCATGGAACTAAATAAAATTAATATTGATGAAATCATATAAATGTATTAAGTATGAAACAAAAATATGTTTTCCAATTGTATTCAATTGTTTCATAGTAAAACTTAAAAACTATCAAACCAAAACATATATGTATATATATAACTATATATATACATGGAAACCAATAAATGTGTGTGTGTGTATGATATTGAGCTTAAAGTACCAACACACATAATATAAACTCCTAAACTAAATTACCCAAGCTTTGATCTTGATCTTCATTGAGCTCAACTTGGTACACGTTGCGGATGAAGCTAAACTTGGATCTTGAACTTGAATTGTACGATGCTTCACTCCACAATTCCGCCAACCTCCTCTTGATATGGTCGTTGAAGCGCTATTCCATCCATCCTCCAACTACGTTGTTTGTCTACAATACATAGGAATATACAAACACTAGACAAACAACATTAGTAGTAAATTGTTTGTAAATCATCATCAAAACAAGAAGGCCAACATAAACGTCTCCTAAAAGAGAAAACAAGTTAATCCTAAAAGAAAGAGGCGAATGCATCCGGTTTAGAGTGAAAGGGTTGGGACCACTGGCATTACCTCCTCTAAGGATAGAATGTTCCCAGCTGTATTCCCTTCATTACTAATATGCCAATCCTTGGATGACCCTCCATAGAAAAAGATCAAGGTAATAAATGAAAGATTGAAGCATAGACAACTCATATGAAACAGAAAAATCAAATACCTTCAACTTCATCCTCCTCTCGAGACTACTACTCTTCTTCTTCATCCCTTATTTCTATGGTTTCCCTCGAAACCAGACTGGTCCTACTCTGTAGGCATATCCCCCTCTTATCCCCATGAGCCTACAAAGCGAACAAAGACCTGCTAGGACCTTCACTCGGTATCTTCTTCTACGGCTTTGGAGCAAGTCAGCCTGGTTTTATAGGAATCTTCCCTTTACAGTCAGCGTCATATTTCTTTGAGGGTCATATTTGAGTCCAACCATCATCAATGGTAATACCGATAGTAGGATGATAATGGTCAAGCTCATTGCTATCATAAATCGCCTGAGCCAAGACATATAGAGGGAAACTGTCCTCTTGTGGGATACGTGTATACATATCCTCAGCCAGAGAAGCCCAGTGTAAGTCCTTAATATCCTCACCAGTCATCTCATATTCATTCAATGTTAGATTGGGGGCGCCTAGTTGATGTGCCTTCTTGTAATCCTCCAAACCTTTGGCGCGTCTCTTCTTTGTAGACTCCATAAAAAAGGTGTTTATGTGTCTGAGGCACGACACCTGCGATTGATAATTTGGTTGCAGCACCTTGACAATGCTATACCTAATCAAAAAAGTGATGACGTGTGATATTTTTCTCAGAAGAGTGAATGAAGCCCCTATGCACCCCAACATAAAATAATGTCATGCCCTAGCACCATTCGCCAAACTCCCCTCATGCCCCAGTTTCAGATTAGGGCTACCAACATACATCTAATGATAGCCAAATTGCTGGCAATTCGGCTTAGTAGATAAGGTGCAAGATAGCAAATATTGTTCACTTGAAGAACAAGGTGGGATGGATAAATGTTGATCATAAAAGTAAAGGCAGGTGATGGAAGCTCGCTGTGAAGGATGTCGTGGTCCTCAAATCTATTCAAGAAGGTCACATCATAGTTCATCCTCGGAAGGGCGTGATAAAACATGAAGTACTAAAGTACTCTAACTTTTCCCAGATCAGATCGAAGTACTCAAAGTTCCAGTTGGACCTCTCATGTGCCTGCAGTAAAGGAACACCGGGCACAGTGGTCTTTCTAGCCGACGTAATCAATATCTAATAATAGCCAGCAAACTAGACCATGAAATACAAATATGTTAGGTCAACTCCGGAGATCGTAGCAACATGAGGATTGCTGCAATAACGAGCAACCAATGATGGATGTTGGAAATTATTATGTAGAGTAGACCCGATCTCTACCCACAAACTAGCATTGCCATAGACAAAAAAACACCTCAGAATGGACGACATCATGTGGAACAACATATTTCTTTAGCCATATTGAGACGAATCCAGCCAAAGCAGCCATAGGGGCCAATGCAACAAGTGTTTTTTTCCTCTTTTTTTGGAATTATGGTACATCTTAATCTGTGGGAATGCGAAAGAGAGAAGTAAATATTAATTTCCTATCGGGTTATCGTAACTGCCTTACTCGAATGGTAGGAAATGATTTCTTTCTCCTTTTTCTTTTTCTTTTTTGCTTTTGTAATAGATGATCATTTTGTCCTATGTTATTATATCATCCTATACATGTATCATTTTGGCTAAATATCAAAAAAAAAAAAAAAAACCCTTAACTTTAGACAATTACAAGAAAAGCTCTCTTAACTTTCAAAACATCAGAAACGCCCGCACGTTTAAGTATCAAAGATCATCTCAAACCTCCTTTACCTGTCTGATTTTATCAACAAAAACCCTTTTAACTTTCAAATTTTATTAGTAAATCCATCTAAATTAGGGAAGTTAGGGAGTTCTGCTACAAGAGACCACCAGCATACGAAGCGGTACATGTGGCAGTACAACGATGGCTGATCTCTCTCTCTCTCTCCCGCTCTGCCCACAAATAGTAACAAACCCAACTTCTTCAAACTCTTATGAACCAAGAAAGTTGATCGAGATCGATCGATCTCCTCTAGTTTTTTTCTCAAACCCTATGCACATCAAGGGGGCGGCAATGTCTATCCAATATCTTGATTGAATTGGTAAGATCCTTTAAAAATATTGTTTGAGGCGCGTGCAGGTGTTGTTTGATGAAATGCCTCATTGAAATGTTTGTTTGCTTGTTTTTCTTTTTTTCCTCTTCTTTTTCTTTATCCTTTTGGAGATAGCTGTTGGTTTTTATTTAATGAATTCTACATGGGCATGCTTTTGTTTGCCTGTTGCCATTGCCATGCTTACAATACTAAATCAGGCAATGCTCAGATGTATAATACTCATTGATCGGGAGAATGTTTAGCATTTACATTGTGTTAGGGGTCAATCTAGTCCCACATTCACTAAATGGGGAAGTCATTCGCTAAATCGGGAGTTTTATGTTCCTTTATAGGGGATTTGGGTTCCCTCTCTCTCATTAGCATCAAGCTTTTGCGGTGATTTTCTCCTAGATCTCTTACACATTGCTCTCTTTTTTCCCCCTTTTTCTTTTGGATCGGATCACTTTGTTACTCTTACCTTAATTGTTAGAAAATTTATCGTCGCCTAGTCATTTTCTTTTGCATATATACTGAAGTGAATGTGCGTGTGGATGGTCTCATATATACAATTTAAGTAGCGTTTATTATGAGCAGGTAATGGATTAATTAGTAGTGGGTGTTGTTGGACATCAGTTTGGCCTGTTAATCAATAAAAATATAGTTTTTCATGTCCACCGCTCATTAGGGAGCGTGTCCAATACAATCTCAGAATTGACGGAGAGAGTGGGGATAGGGTGTTTTCCCCCATAGTTACATAGTCACGAGAGCTTTAGGTGCAACCATGGAAACCCCGTTTGTAAACTATTGAAATATCAGTATATCTACTGCAAAGTGAGTTATCTTCATCGTGGTTGTTCGCCATAAAAATGGGGTTTAGCTATTCAGGAGCATGCTAATGTTGTCAGCAATCTCCATGAAAATAAGAATTGGCAGAGTATGAGAATGTTGACAGAATTTTCCATGAAAGAATTGGCTAGCTACTAACCTTGCATCAGTAGTTGACAAATTTTTAGAAGTACAGAGAAGATTGATCCTTGCAAAAAACCCTTAAATTCTGACCACTGGTAAGATAGGTGCTTCAATGTTTCCAGCTCATTCAGCCAAGGAGCGGATAACTGAATAACTTCGAGAAAGGAAAGGGAAAAATAGCTAAATTGGTATATTTTGTTGATCCTTGGTGACAGATTGGTATATTATTATTTTTTGACAAATTGGTATATTATCTAGACTCCGGTGCGAAATTGGTACATTATCTAGACTCCGGTGCCTTATCTGGACCCCGGCGTCAAATACCCCTTAAGTTTGGCCAGATCTAAATTTTTCGGCCAGTTTTCTCATGTGACGGCTCACGTGATGCCCAGCTGGCGGGATTTATTGCACAAAACCCCCTCATCTTGCGACTATTCTTAAAAAAACCCTCCTCCTCTTCCTCCTCCCCCTCACCCCCCTCCTCCTCTTCCTCTTCAACCTCTCCCCATCACCTACGCCCGCCAGCTCAGCAAACCCTCAACCCCCACTCCTCCTCCTCCCTCTCTCCCTCCTCCCAGCCACCGTCATATTTGTACCCATTTGCCCAACTTAGGGTTCCACGTCCATGAATTACCCCAGCCTTCCAATGACCGACATACTCATTACCATTCTTCCAAATATACCGTCCATAGATACTTGCCAGTGCCATTAGGGAGGTCATTTCTCCATTGGCCCATGTAGAAATCCCCATTGCGTAATAGTTTCTCCATGTGGGAGACATCGTGTTCATCGTCGGTTGGTGATTCGGAGCCCGTCGTCGAATTGGGCGTAGATGGATCTTCAGCGGACGACATTATGCCCTCTATGCACACTCTTATCTGTTTTCGTGTTTTCTTCTCAATACAAGCAACATTACCATGTTGTTTGGATAGAATGTCGATAGAGTATAATGGAAAAGATTGTAAAATGGAGTAATGGGACAATTGTGATGTTCAGAAATTGTTTTATTCTTTCTTTCTTTCTTTTTTGGGTCGAAAGAGGAGAAAGAAAGAAATGTGGGAGTGTTTTGGGGAGATGGGGTAGTCATTTTGGGTTATTGGGTTTGGGTTCTGCGATTCTTTCTCCTACAATGCCTAGCAACTGCAACATTTGTATGAAGGGAAGAGACAAGGGGTTCCTTTTTTTCTCTGGGTTCTTATACAGAATTGGTGATGAATAATCCAAATATAGTAAAATTTATTCAATTTATTTTTCTCATGAGATGTTTCGGGAATGAGTGAGGGAGAGGGGGAGGAGTGGGGGTTGCTGAGCTGGCAGGCATGGGTGATGAGGAGAGGTTGAAGAGGATGAGGAGGAGGAGGGAGAGGGGGAGGAGGAAGAGGAGGGTTTTTTTTAAGAATAGTCGCAAGATGAGGGGTTTCGTGCAATAAATCCTGCCAGTTGGGCGTCACGTGAGCCGTCACGTGAGAAATTTTCCGGCCAAACTTAAGGGGTATTTGGTGTCGAAGTCCAGGTAATATACCAATTTGGCACCGGAGTCTAGATAATATACCAATTTATCAAAATAAAAATATATATATATCAATCTGTCACCGAGGGTCAACAAAATATACCAATTTGGCTATTTTGCCGAAAGGAAAGAGTCTATTTGAGGAGATTGTAATGGTATAATTTTCTGTAAATAATTGAATTTACCAATGAGGCATAGTGTAAGTGATATACCATAGCTTCTAATCATGGTTTGTTTTATTGGAAACAGAGATAGGAGTAAGCAACAAATATTTTGGTTCATAGAGAAAATGTTGTACTGCAGCTCTTTGTCTATAGTTCCCACTGTACCCAAGCTTCCTGGGCACTGATTGGAGAGAGAAATGGAAGAAGTTTATCACTCTATATGTGGTTCTCATAGTAGAAAGCAGCTCGCTCTGGAATGCGGAAAAAATGGCTCTTTGACACATATGCATATTTTCTGAATAAACTTTTGATAGAAACCACATTTTCATATAAATATTTATTCTGAAGATGTAAAGTTGTTTCATTGGATACTATTATGGCATAATGTTACATATGCTTATATCATGCAGCTTGTTCACTGAGGAGTGTCTCCCTTTGCAATAGATTTTCTTTTGTGGGAAGCATTTGACAGTATAAGTTTCTTTTCTTCGTAATGGCGCACCAAGCTGGATCTCATTCAAAAATTCCAAACTGTGATGCTTACTTCGAGACTATCCAGTCTAAGAAAAAGTTAGAATATTCCTTACAACAGTCTTTAACTTCAGCATTTGCACACATTCCGGCTTCGTCTTTCCCACAAGTTCCAGGAGGAAAAGGTATTTCTAGCTAGGCTAATTGAATTAGGTTCTCCGTTTAGTTTTAGTCCTTTACTAACCATTTCCAGTCTATTGATATTAACAGGGGAAGACCGTATATACCTTTTATCATTTGTTGTGTTATAGGAAAATTCTTAGTATGGTATGCTTCATATATAATACTTAGCCTCGCTGGGTCCTTGTTCTTAATGCAGTGGTTGAAATTTCATCTGACACAACAGTTGTTGACGCAATAGGAATTTTATCTGAGCACAATATAATGTCTGCTCCCGTGAGAAAAGCGGATGCAGCACATACTATCGATTGGAGGGGAAAATATCTGGGTATTATAGATTACTCAGCAATCGTGCTGTGGGTGCTAGAGAATGCAGAGCTTGCTGGTTTTGCTTTATCAGCGGGCTCAGTAGCAGTTGCTGGGGTTGGAGCCGGTGCTCTCGGTGCTCTTGGTGTTGGAGCTGTGGCTTTAGGTGCAGGTCCAGTTGCAGCTGCTGGGCTGGCTGTTGCTGCTGTTAGTGCTGCTGTTGCTGGTGGATTGGCTGCAGAAAATGACTTGAATAAAGATGCTCCCCGTGTTGCAGATGATCTCGGGGAGGATTTCTATAAAGTTCTTGTTGAAAAAGAACCTTTCAAGTCAACGAAAGTAAGCACTTAAAAATCTGTTTTCTGGTGCATGGTAATTTAAATTGCACATATTCCCCTAATCTATACCTACAATTGCAGATAACCCCTCTCAACTCATTTATTAGCACTTAGCACCCATGTATTTCTATTTTTAGAAAAACAAATGGTGCTAATAAATGAGTTGAGTGGTGTTGAGCTCAATTGAAGGTATAGATGGAAAGGGGGGCTATGTGCAATTTGCTCTTTTGGCTATGGACATCAGCATATATTGAATCTGTGATGAAAACCATGATTCTGACCTGAACTTAATCTCAATATTTATAGCTTCCTGAATATGTTTTATGGTTGTCATCATTGAAGTGGCATATTAATCAATATTCTTGACAAGTCTTGCATGTTTTTAGCAAATATGTTAAAATTTCATATTGTTGTGCCAAAGTACATTGATCATGTTCTTTCTACTCTAAGAATCTACTATTACTTTTACCCATGGTTCTATAGGATTATGGTTCATTTGTTGTGAAATTAACACTTGAATCTTTTGTTACAATCCTAAAAGTGAATGGTCTCACTTTACTTTTGATCTAGAAAGGTATTTGCATATATAATAGTTTCAATTGATTTGGTAATTTACTAATTCTAGCTTGAGTTAGAGTTCTCAGGGAGGAACCATAACTCCTTAAGGTCGGATGGAAATAGTACTGTTACATGATATGTCCTGGGAAATTCTTGCTTGCAACACAAATAATATAAGGGGGAATAAGGTACCATTAAAATCTTTGAACCACCTATAGATATCTGATGATATTTTATGCATAAACGTGATGGTGGGAAAGTTCTGATTGTAAAGATGTTTAAAAACAAGGAGAGTATATTGTGACCCAAAAAAGGGAGTAACCCCACATTAATTGTTCTGTAGGAATGTGTTTGGTCTATATTAGTCAAAAGAAACTATAGAATAGTTAACCATAGTAAGCGTTTCTGCGGAACTCTCTTTTTCCATTTAATGATGAAGGTATTCATTACATCAAAGAGAAAGCAGCAACATGAAGCCGTTAAATACGAGGAGTCAAGGACCATACCCATAGGTCAAAGGCTTTAAGTTTTATTGTGCTAAGTAGTATTGTGGTGGGGACCTCCAGTAAATCCTTTCTTGACATGACATGAGTCTTTAAAAAGAGTGATTTACCTTATGCATCACAAATGGCTTGAATTTCTCCTAGACTGCGATTTGAAAGTTTGATTATGTGAAAGATAGGAGTTTGTTAACACTTTGCTGTATCCTGACTATAGAAATAGCATAATCAAGAAATTATAATAGGTTCATGAATAAACCATAATAGGTATTATCTTAATAAAAGGAATAATCTATGATGTGATTTTCGATGGTCCCTTCACCTCTGTGTCAATAGAAATGTGATTAAAATGTGATTTTCGATAGTTTGCTTTTTTTGTGTATTTGTTCCGTTTGGGGCTTGCTTTTACAAATAATTCACAGTAGTTCCTATTCTGAGTGCTGTTGTATATGATAAATCAAATTCTTTCTTCGATTCTCAGCCAGGCATGCCTTGTTTTTTAAGCTTTTAGTGACCTGTATTTTCAGGTGGGGTCAGTTGTTACGCCATACAGGTGGGCCCCTTTTGTGCCTGTGGGAGTGGATAGTTCCATGCTTACTGTTCTATTGCTTCTGTCAAAATACAGATTGAGAAATGTTCCAGTTATTGAAGCAGGAAAGCCTTATATAAGGAATCTTATTACGCAGTCAGCTGTTGTTCAAGGTTTAATGCGATGCAGGGGAAGTGAGTGGTTCGATTGCATTGCATCCCGTCGTCTTCCAGATTTGGGCCTTCCTTTCATGTCAAATGATAAGGTGATACATCTATAGTTGCAAAATTGAAAAAGAGCTTTTCTGATATTCTTCCTCCAAATTACCTTTATTTTGAAATAGGTTCCCAAACTGTCATATTTTGAATGGGCAGATTTCAGATGACCCTCCTATCTGTTGTCTCATTTTGATATAAAGGTATCACAGCCTCACACTTAACCTTTTGCGCTTCACGGAAGTAGACACCCCCCCCCCCCAAAAAAAAAAAAAAATGCCGATGGTGAGGAACCCGGTTAGTTCCGGTGCATAGGATGGGTATGGGAGCATGGTACACCGCTCATTAGGAATCGAGTACGAGTGGAGTAGGCTTATATCGTTCGCTAGGGTATGGGTACGCGTTAGGCTCGGTTCTTAAATGTAGGAATTAGAGGTTTTGCAGGAGTCAAATTTAAGGAATATGCTAGTTGATATCGCTAAATGGTATTAAAAAAACCTTGAGAATCATGCATACTTTATTTGCTTAATTTCTCATTATTTTGTTGTATATTCTTTTAAAATATTTTTTTTTTCAAAATTTTGATTGGTTTGAATTATAAACAGGGTCGCGTTCCATGCGAATTAGGGACAATTGAACCCGGATCGTGGTTTTTAGGAGTTCAGAGTGGTTATCTCCAAATGGGCCAACTAATAGAGGGATCGCGTGAAATTTACCCTAGTTTTTGAAATAAGTTGCACCAAAATTTGTTGCTTTCACCTCTGATTTTATACATAAATCCAAGAAAATAGGGGCATTATTTTCTGGTGGCTTATTTCAGGTTATAAATGTCAATAGCGATGAGTTGATCCTGGAAGCTTTCAAGCTCATGAAAGAAAATCAAATAGGTGGCCTTCCAGTTACAGAAGGTCCTACCAGAAAGATTGTCGGAAATGTGAGCATGCGTGATATCAGATTCCTGTTGCTCAAGCCTGAACTTTTCTCTAATTTCAGGTATTGATATTAACGTGTTGTGAAATTTACAATTTAGTTCTGTTGATACAAAATTAGAACAGGCTAACCCAAAATTTTGACTTTAGGCTCTCCTTGGGTAAATGAAATTTGCTGAAGTAAATTTGGCAATGGATTACTTGTTACATTGCTATATTTCTGTGTTAGTTGGAAACAATGACTAAAATTGAGGATACAATAGTTTCACAAATATTTCTTTTGGACATGAAGTTACTCCAAATAGATGGATCGAGGCAAGGGAGAATATAGTTTTTGACGTTTAATCTAGCTTTCTTTCATGGATATAAAGTTGTTAATGGTTTACAAACTTATATGAATAACATTCCTTTCTGAAATAAACATGGAACCTTTCCACTTGCATGCAAAAGATCAAAACTATCATGTGCCAGCTTGGATTAAACATGGCCTTTTTAACAGATAAATGGAGTAAATATGTAGATATAGTTTTTCTTAAAGCTTTTTTTGATACCCCAAAGTATTTTGTGATGCTTTGATACTCCAAACTTTCAATCCTATTTCACTTTGATACCTCCATCAAATATTGTAAGATTTTCTATTAAATTTATACACATGCTTGGCACGTGATATCTCCGTCCATTGTCATTGGGGAAATTTAGTTGCTGGTATTGTAGCAACTGGGTAAAACTGACCTATATGTAATGCAAATTTAACAAAAAATCTAATAAAATCGGGCGTAGGTATCAAAGCGAAATAGAATTAAAATTTTTGGGGTATCAAAAAGTGTTAACTCTATTTTCTTTTTGGTGTTAACTCTTTTTTTTTTTAAGTTTAAAAAAAGGTTAAACCTTGGGGGTACCAGAGTGAAAATAACCCTTCATTAATTGTGCCTACCATTCCGGAATCTAGATATTTTATATTTAATTATACTCTTGCAGCCAGCTCACCGTGCTTGAGTTCTTAAAGGCCATAGGCCCGACGAATCCAATATCAGGGAGCAAATATATGGCACCCCCAATAACATGTTCAACTGATGCTTGCCTTGAGAGCGTGATAGAGAGCTTGGCGATCAAAATGGTTCACCGGATCTATGTTGTAGATGGCAACATGAGCGTTATCGGTGTCGTAACTCTCAGAGATGTGATATCCTGCTTCATTTATGAACCCCCTGACCATTTCGATAACTATCTTGGGTTCGCGATTGAGGAGATGCTGAACTCAAGTTGACATTCTTTCAGTGTTCTAGAACTTTTGTTTTTGATCATAAACGTTGCTTATTTATGTTTGCATGTTTCAAGCTAAGGTATTTCTGATGTTTATTGAACCTGTCTATGAGGTTTTTGTAGATCTTAGTTGTCAAAATCAGTTGCTTTGCTTAGTTATTTTGAGTTGTGGATGAATGTAAGAAAGGGCATGAATGTCTGTACATCTTTCAGCATGCTGTTGATGCTTAATGATTTTGTTTTGTGTTCGCTTTCATCACACACAGTTATGCATCAACCAGTGGCTAACCAATGTAGGGGCCAGGGGGCCTTGGCCCCACCTTGAAAATAAATAAAAAAATCAAGGGCCTATTGGATAATAGTTCCATAAGTCTAAAATGTAAGCTCACTTTTCTGAAAATTCCTCTCTAATGAAGGAGAATCACCAACAGTGGACATTGAATCAAATGGATGAGGATTGAGAGTTGATTTGGGTTCTCTGGACTTGGGTTCAGTCTCAGAGAAACTAATAAAGAAAGGAAACACTGTTATTTTTGGGATTTTGATCCATTTTTCATCTTGTGAATAGTACGGCTGTTTGGTGCTTCGGCATAATAATGTTTGGTGTTTTGCGGATAGAAATGAGCACCAACCGCTCATGGGACATTTGAAAATCTTCGGTTTCTATATGGTTATTTAGATACTAGTCCCTCAGATATTCAATAGTTTCACATCAGCCCCTCATATTTTAGGAATTGCTCATTAGTCCCTCAAATAATAAGGGTGTTTGCAATTCGATCCCTCAATCTTTTATTACAATGAAAATCATAGTTATGTATAATAATAATGTACTCTTATCTATACTAAAACTTTAAAAATCCAAAACTAGGATTTAAAACCAAACCATTATCTAAACTTACTACAGTTCAAACTTCAAAATAACTCTATTTTAAATGATGCTGATAGCTCAATCTACTCAAATATCCTAACTAAAATCATAAAACTGTTTCAAGAAATGAAGTCAAGAAGAATATCATTGTAAGCACTATATTCGAATTTTTTTATTTTGAAAGTCTTGCTATGTAATAATGTTTAGAAACTCAAAAATATATATATGCTATAGCATTTAGATGTTAAGATTTTCGAATCCGCCGCTGGAATCAACTGAAGATTTTCTACCTCGTCATACTTATGCTTTTTAATGATTAATATGTTCTCTATTTCTGTTAGGGGGTGTTAGTCAATTGGGACATTTTCATGCAAAATGGGATAATTGTTAAAGTGGAATAATATTTTGCTAGTGGGATATTTTAGTGGGATAACTAGGAACAATTTTGTGAAGCATGATATTTTGATAAAATAACGTGGGATAAATTTTTATAATCATGAAGTATATATTTATGCATTTTGAAGATATAAATACTATTTGTATTTTAAACTTACTATTATTAATTGATAATTGCTTACAAGAATGTTCGTTACTATTAAATAACTTTTGGTTAGACTATAAGATATTGACAATTATTATTATGATGATGGTTTAATGATGGTGATAACCATAATAGGAAATAAGTAAAGAAAAAAAAATAACAAAATAAATACGAGTTCTAGTTTTTTACCACATAGTTCCAAGCTAAAACTTGGAATAATTTAAGAGACTAGAACTCTCATTTTTGTATAGAAAAATAAAAAAAGTGGGATAATTTTGTACAATTATCCCAATTCTAGTTTTGTTAAAGTTCTGCTTGACTAACACTGTAAAATTTTATTCTAGTTTTAGTTCTATGTGACTAACACCTTAAAATTTTATTCTAGGTTTAGTTCTATGTGACTAACACCTTAAAATTTTATCCCACAGATTATCGCAGTTCTAATTTTAAGTTCTAGGTGACTAACCCCCCCTTAGGGAATTTATGAAGATTAATCTGCGGAATTAAACATTAAACGAATAACGACACCAATAAAAATACCACAAGCAAGCAAAAGCCAAGATTTAACGTGGTTCGGCAAATCGTGCCTACGTCCACGGGGCAATCCAGAGAGAAATATTTTACTATGAATCAAGAGTACAATCCCTCCAAGTTACACCAAAACTTGAAGATTAAATCACAAGAGAAAGATACTGTGTTATCTCTAGGGCATCAAAACCTTAAAACCCGTCTCACCAAAAATCTCCAACACCCACGGAGAAACTAACACCGTACCCTTGACGGCGTCGTCGTTCTGAAGACAACGACTTTTGAATCACTACAATCGGACAACCGAGCTATTCGGAATATGTACTTTTCTCTCTCTCTCCCCCCTCTTTTCTTCTCTCAGGTTACTATTCACAATTTACTGTAGCACCAAAAAATTACAATTTCTTATTAATAGAATTCCTTTATAAAGAAATTCTATTTTCAGATCCTCCAAACCTATTCCTATTACAACTAGATCCTCCAAATCCTCTTCTAAATAGAATTTTAATTCATGTGAACTTCATGTGGACCTTATCTTGGGCTGGACCCACAACAATCTCCCCCTCCAGCTCAATGAGAGGGTATGCCAATTTGTAACTTCTCAACGGGAGTTCATGCCGGCCAATCGCCGACACAACTCGGTCTTCTCTTTGTAAACAGTCTTCGTTAAAAAATCTGTTGGATTTTATCTGTGTGAATCTTCTGTAGCTTTAGTTCCTCTTTCTTAATGGCTTCTCTAAACCAATGATATCTCACATCAATGTGCTTTATCCTAGAGTGGAATGTAAAATTCTTGCTCAAATCAAGAGCACTTTAAGTATCAATGAAGATTTGATAATTGTCCTGCTTCAAGCCTAACTCCTGCAGAAATCTTCTAAACCAAATTATCTCCTTACCGGCTTCTGTAGCTGCAATATATTCCACCTTTGTTGTAGATAAAACAACACACTTTTATAACATGGACTGCTACGATACTGCTCCACCTGCAAAAGTGAACAACCAATCTGAGATAGACATCCTGTAATCGAGATCACCTGCTATATCCGCATTTGCAAAACCATATAATACTACATTCGAACCTCCAAAACTCAAACACAATCTAGAACTGCCTTTCAAATATTTAAGATCCATTTTACACAGTCCTAATGAACTTTTCCTGGATTAGAAAGAAACCTACTCACAACGCCAACTGCATGAGCTATATCTGGCCGAGTGCAAACCATGACATACATCAAACTCCCTACAGCTGAAGAGTAAGAAATATTCTCCATCTCACTCTTTTCCTCATTTGTAGTAGGGCAAAACTTTTTGCTAAGCTTCAAATAACCTGTAAAAAGAGTACTGACTGACTTGGCATCTTTTATGTTGAATCTACCAAGTAATTGTTCAACATATTTCTCCTATGATACCCACAACTTCATGGCTTTCCTGTCACAAGCAATATTCATAACAAAAATCTGTTGTGCCGAACCCAAATCATTCATGTCAAAAAATTTAAATAACTCATTCTTCAGCCCACCGATTATCTAACGATCCTGACCAACAATCAACATATCGCCCACATAAAGCAAAAGGATAATGAAGCTAGAATCTGAAATTCTCCTGAAATATACACACTAATCTGCAACTGTCATCTGGTAGCCATGACTCAACATCAAAGAATCAAATTTCTTATAAAACTGCTTGGCCTACTTCAAACCATAGAGACTCTTCTTCAACCTGCAAACCATGTGTTATTTTCCCTTCACTTCAAAACCCTCCGGCTGTTCCATGTAGATCTCCTCCTCCAAATCACCATGAAGGAATGTAGTATTCACATCAAGCTACTCAATCTCGAGGTCTAAACTAGCTGTTAACCCTAAGATAACCCTAATGGACGTTATCTTCACAACCGGTGAAAAATCTCAACAAAATCAATGGCCTTTTTCTGACCAAAGCCTTTCACCACTAATCTGGATTCGTATTTCTTAGTCTTTTTGTCGTCATCCTTCTTTAACTTGAACACCCACTTGTTCTTCAAAGCTTTTCTGTCCTTCGGAAAATCCACCAACTCATAAGTATCGTTCTTCTCAAGAGAATTCATCTCTTCCTTCAAAGCATGGAACCATCTGTCCTTGTCTTTATGAGTATGTGCCTCCTGAAAGCTTTCTGGCTCCCCCTCTTCTTGTTAAGTCTCATATTTATGAGCCTATTGTCTAATCTAATTTTGATGATTAACAAATAATTCCTAACATCGTTTGTCGAGTGTTTCTTATTTGTTTGTTAAATATTCTACACAAACATCCTCCTTGTTGGAGGTTGAAAGGATTTGTACCTTAATGACGATATGTTGGAGGTTGGTTGGACTTGTGCCTACATGATCATAACCATTGAAGGATGTAAAGAAATTGGAATAAAGCCGTTGTAATTCAAGTTAACGACATTATCGCTTCATCCCCGCTACCAAGATCAAGTTTCATGAAGATCACATTGCTTGGTATAGTGTTTTTAGTTTAGGTGTTTACTTTATGTGTTATGCTTAAAAGCTTAAACTATATACACACATTTTATATCTTTTTCGTTAAGTCTATTAATCTATTGAAAAGTATCTCAAAACATGTTTGAAGAAGTTTCATCAAAATCAAGTATTTAACAAACTCGTATTTTTGACCGTTTTGTAAAACAGTGAGTTATCACTCTTGGGAAATGATATTGTAGAAATTCCTTCTCTAATATTTTTATTTTTAGATATATAAACATTTACTAAGTTTTATTATTTTTAGAGTTGATTTACTATTTTAAATCAAATTTACAAAATCAACTCTTCAAGAAATTTTAGAAACTAGAATATCTATTTTCAGTCAGTGAGTTTTCACAAATGCGAAGTGATGTTTTAGAAATTTCTTCTCTAACATGTTTATCTTAATGTGTATAAATGTTTTCCAAAGTTTTACAATTTTTAGAATTGATTTGCTATTTTAAATTGAATTTAGAAAATCAGCTTCTCAAAATTTCAGCAAACCTGTGTATCAGTTATAAGTCGACCGATTCTTAAAATTTGTCGACCGATCACCTCTTGTCAGTCAACCGGTGTCATTTTTTGTCGACCGACCATAGCTATTGCTAGACTTTTATTTTTCAAACAAATCAGTTGACTGATATGTTTCACCAGTCGACCGATCAACGGTAAAATAGCTGTAACGACTAGTTTTTGGCTTTGGCTTTTTCTTTTGAGAGGCTATATATAGCTCTCATAACTCATTTGCTTCTTTATGGAAGTTTAGAAAAAGGTTTTGCAAGTTTGTTTAAGGGTTTTTAAGAGTAAA